CATATGCACACCACCCCCACTCCATTCTTCAGTCAGAGGCGGGATTTGAATATCTGTGTAAGATATCCATTGATTGGTATCAGAGCTCACACAGGGTCCCATGATTGGTATCAGAGCTCACACAGGGTCCATGATTGGTATCAGAGCTCACACAGGGTCCATGATTGGTATCAGAGCTCACACAGGGTCCATGATTGGTATCAGAGCTCACACAGGGTCCATGATTGGTATCAGAGCTCACACAGGGTCCATGATTGGTATCAGAGCTCACACAGGGTCCATGATCTCCACATGTGATGTGTACAGGCCTGGCTGTTCCGGCTCAAGCACTGCACCCTGGGAGGAAAGGGGGGTGTGGTAAGTAAGTATAGGAGGGTCGAAGGGTGGTCTGTCAGGATACTCTCTCACATTCTATACTGAGTTCAGCGTTGTGTAGGGCAGTAAATTCTAATCTCCTCACATCCAGGTCCGCACAGCGGCTGTGTTTGCGCTTGGAACGTTTGTGGGAAACTCAGGGGAGAGGACGGATCATTCCACAACAATCGACCACAACGTGGCTATGATGCTGGCCCAGCTGATCAATGATGGCAGCGCAATGGTGCGCAAGGTGAGTGCCTCCCTCTATTGGACTGCACAGTACGTACATCATCGATACATGTGATCCTCCTGTCCAGTCATCTCCACTTGTTTCTGAATCCTGTGCCGAGCAGCTGCACTCCTGCCTACTGAACACAGGAGGTTGGCTGCTCACCATAGGCGCCATTCAGAGAAGGCTTTGTATGAATGCAAAGGGTTCTCTGATTGGACAAGGTGGAGTGAGGTTACACTCTACACCTCATCCAATCAGAGAACTCCTTCAATTCCTTCAGAAAATGCAAAGAAAATCTCTGAATGGCACTGATGCTGAGCAGCCGACCTCTTGTGTTCACAATGCATCACACTGGCCACTCGGCAAAGGGAAGTAGGAGCGAGTAAGTACCTGTCAGTTTTGGCTTCCCGGTGATGTCATTGGTGCCCACAAACTGTCCATATAAAATGCCAGCTTCATCGGGAGTTCATCATAAATCCGCATCCCACAAATCTCTCATTTCTGAGCTTCTCCTGCAACTGATCCTTCTATACAGTAAAATATGGTCACAGGGAGGCTCTGGGAAGGAATTCTGGGAAATGAGCTGCAGTGACTTCTTCCTGATCATCAACTCCCCCTGTGAAGGGAGATCCAGGACTGCGGCCATCAGTGGCTGCTCCCTGTATTCGGTTCCTCTCAGTGGAAGTATATGGACAGCCATTGTATCTGAAAATACTAGTTTTCTGGCTGTCATTTGATCCATTGGGTTCAAGACCATCTTTGGGCTCTGTGCTCTCCCCTCCCCCACCTTAAATCGCGTCAGTAATATGTTCTCTGTGACATGCTGGGTTCTCTTCCTGCTCAGTCTTCTCATGGTGGTGGGTCATCCTGGATGATGAGGAGGGTGTGAGTGCAGGCACCATGTTAGGGGCGGGGCCATGACACCCAGGACACGCCCTTCCTCAGTCTTCCCAGGTTTAGTGGTGCTGGCCATCAGTCAGGACATCTTGTGGACAGGAGGAGCTACTGCAGGGAACAGCTCTGGATTTAATTGTAAGTATTGCAGCCAACTTGCTTTAAATCCTCCAAAGTGGACAAAATAATAAAACTGTGATTTTAGCCTGAAGTTGGGATTTTTAAGATTCACTGACCCAGAATAAGATGAAAGCATTGGAAAGGCAAGTATGAAGAGTGCTCAGCTCTCGGGATTTGGACCCAGTGCAAATACTGCGTTCCAGATCTGTGCCGCCATCACTAGCCTGAAATACACAGAATGTGCTAATGAGAATCCTTTGTTTTGTCCAAATCCAGACTTTGCATTGGAAAGGTGGAGCTGATGTATAGGGAGCACAGACAGCTTTTATTTCAGAAACTTCTATAAATACGATCTGTTGTATTGTGTCCCCCCCAGGAGCTGGTGGTGGCTCTCAGTCATCTGGTGGTCCAATATGAGAGTAATTTCTGCACGGTGGCCCTGCAGTTCATGGAGGAGGAGAAGAATTATCATTTACCATCTCCGGCTTCTACGGGTGAGTAGTCCAGCCGCTGGTGAAATATTTGGCAAGATCCCGTATGACCGACATTTGTCACATGACGCTAACCCCCTTCTAACATTTCAGAGGCCGGCAACCTGACGCCAGTGCGGGAAGCTCCCAGCACCCCTCGCCTGCGGTCTGTCAGTTCTTATGGCAATATCCGAGCCGTCACCACACCTCGGAACCTCAACAAGTCTCTGCAGAACCTCAGCCTGACCGAAGAGGGTAAGAAAGGAAAAACGATCGACGTTTGCCAGGATTCACTCATTGCAGTGTGATTGTATCACCTCCTATAGACCAGCAGATAACTGCCACGTGAGGGAAAAGGTGGGGAAGTCCCATGTGCTTCTCCATGTCCATAGATCTGACGGGAATTGTACAGACATTGAGTGTGACCGGATATAGATGGGGGATGGATACTGAGAGACGTGTGCACCGAGCCGCAGACATTGAGTGTGACCGGATATAGATGGGGGATGGATACTGAGAGACGTGTGCACCGAGCCGCAGACATTGAGTGTGACCGGATATAGATGAGGGGGGGATGGATACTGAGAGAGCGTGTGCACCGAGCCGCAGACATTGAGTGTGACCGGATATAGATGGGGGATGGATACTGAGAGACCGTGTGCACCGAGCCGCCACTGAGACATTGAGTGTGACCGGATATAGATGGGGGATGGATACTGAGAGACGTGTGCACCGAGCCGCAGACATTGAGTGTGACCGGATATAGATGGGGGATGGATACTGAGAGACGTGTGCACCGAGCCGCAGACATTATAGAGTGTGAGAGACGTGTGCACCGGATATTGAGTGTGAGATGGGGGTGCACCGAGCCGCATGGATACTGAGAGACGTGTGCACCGAGCCGCAGACATTGAGTGTGTGACCGGATTATAGATGGGGGATGGATACTGAGAGACGTGTGCACCGAGCCGCAGAGTGTGACCGGATATAGATGGGGGATGGATACTGAGAGACGTGTGCACCGAGCCGGATATATAGATGGGGGATGGATACTGAGAGACGTGTGCACCGAGCCGCAGTACATTGTGTGACCGGATATAGATGGGGGATGGAATACCGAGTGCACCGAGCCGCAGACATTGAGTGTGACCGGATATAGATGGGGGATGGATACTGAGAGACGTGTGCACCGAGCCGCAGACATTGAGTGTGACCGGATATAGATGGGGGATGGATACTGAGAGACGTGTGCACCGAGCCGCAGACATTGAGTGTGACCGGATATAGATGGGGGATGGATACTGAGAGACGTGTGCACCGAGCCGCAGACATTGAGTGTGACCGGATATAGATGGGGGATGGATATGGGGGGGTGGGTGGAGATACTGAGAGACGTGTGCACCGAGCCGCAGACCGGATTGATACTGTGTGTGCACCGAGGATAGAGATTGAGGTGACCGGATATAGCTGGGGGTGGGGGATGGATACTGAGAGACGTGTGCACCGAGCCGCAGACATTGAGTGTGACCCGGATATAGATGGGGGATGGATACTGAGAGACGTGTGCACCGAGCCGCAGACATTGAGTGTGACCGGATATAGATGGGGGATGGATACTGAGAGACGTGTGCACCGAGCCGCAGACATTGAGTGTGACCGGATATAGATGGGGGATGGATACTGAGAGACGTGTGCACCGAGCCGCAGACATTGAGTGTGACCGGATATAGATGGGGGATGGATACTGAGAGACGTGTGCACCGAGCCGCAGACATTGAGTGTGACCGGATATAGATGGGGGATGGATACTGAGAGACGTGTGCACCGAGCCGCAGACATTGAGTGTGACCGGATATAGATGGGGGATGGATACTGAGAGACGTGTGCACCGAGCCGCAGACATTGAGTGTGACCGGATATAGAGTGGGGGATGGATACTGAGAGACGTGTGCACCGAGCCGCAGACATTGAGTGTGACCGGATATAGATGGGGGATGGATACTGAGAGACGTGTGCACCGAGAGCCGCAGACATTGAGTGTGACCGGATATAGATGGGGGATGGATACTGAGAGACGTGTGCACCGAGCCGCAGACATTGAGTGTGGTGACCGGATATAGATGGGGGATGGATACTGAGAGACGTGTGCACCGAGCCGCAGACATTGAGTGTGACCGGATATAGATGGGGGATGGATACTGAGAGACGTGTGTGCACCGAGCCGCAGACATTGAGTGTGACCGGATATAGATGGGGGATGGATACTGAGAGACGTGTGCACCGAGCCGAGCCGCAGACATTGAGTGTGACCGGATATAGATGGGGGGATGGATATACTGAGAGCAGACATTGTGTGCCGGATATAGATGGGGGATGGATACTGAGAGAGACGTGTGCACCGAGCCGCAGACATTGAGTGTGACCGGATATATGATGGGGGGGAGACACCGAGCCGCAGACATTGAGTGTGACCGGATATATAGATGGGGGATGGATACTGAGAGACGTGTGCACCGAGCCGCAGACATTGAGTGTGACCGGATATAGATGGGGGATGGATACTGAGAGGACGTGTGCACCGAGCCGCAGACATTGAGTGTGACCGGATATAGATGGGGGATGGATACTGAGAGACGGCGTGGGTGGGTGGGTGTGGGGGTGTACGTGGGTGGGGTGTGGGGGGTGGGGGGGGGTGTACATGGGGGGTGTGGGTGTGGGAGGGGGGGTGTATGTGAGTGGGTGGGTGGGGGGTTGTGTACGTGGGTGTGGGGGGGTTTGTTGGGGGTGGATTTATGGCCAATAGTTTATGGACCATCACACATTTGTTGGACATTCCATTCCAAATCTAGGAACAAAGATAGGTCCACCCCCCCCCCCCCCCCCCACTATAGCCACCGCCACTCTCCCTGGAAGGATCACCGACCATAGAATGACAGCAAGGCTTAAAGGATCACTCCACACGCCATTGCTAGGCTTAGAGATTGGTGAGCTGAATCATCTGCTGGTCTCTACACGACAATAAAAAACACTATAAGGCCAACTTAGAAATCTCTCCATCAAAAACCTGTAGGAGCTTGTTGGTCCACCTGTTCCAAAACCATGGCCATTAATATAGACTTCCCCCCCCCCCCCCCCCCCCCCCATAGCCATATTTATGCTGTTCACCCCCTTTGTATATATGACAGCCTCTGCCCTTCTTTACACAAGACTTTGGAGGCTGTCTGTGAGAATTTGTCCCATGTGTGAGGTCAGGTACTGATGTTGGATGAGAAGACCTGGATCTCCATCAGTGTGTTCCAATCCATCCCAAAGGTGATCAGTAGGTTGAGGTCAGGGCTCTGTACAGGACACTGGAGTTCCTCCACACCCAAAACTGGTCATCCATGTCTTTATGGAGCTGGCTTTGTACACAGGGGACAGTCATGGGGGGACAGAAAAGGGTCTTCACCAAACTGGTCATCCATGTCTTTATGGAGCTGGCTTTGTACACAGGGGACAGTCATGTGGGGACAGAAAAGGTCTTCACCAAACTGGTCCTCCATGTCTTTATGGAGCTGGCCGTGTACACAGGGGACAGTCATGGGAGAACAGAAAAGGGTCTTCACCAAACTGGTCCTCCATGTCTTTATGGAGCTGGCTTTGTACACGGGGGACAGTCATGGGGGAACAGAAAAGGGTCTTCACACAAACTGGTCATCCATGTCTTTATGGAACTGGCTTTGCTTTGTAAACGGGGGACAGTCATGGGGGGGACAGAAAAGGGTCATCACCAAACTGGTCCTCCATGTCTTTATGGAGCCGGCTTTGTACACAGGGGACAGTCATGGGGGAACAGAAAAGGGTCTTCACCACACTGGTCCTCCATGTCTTTATGGAGCTGGCTTTGTACACAGGGGACAGTCATGGGGGGAACAGAAAAGGGTCTTCACCACACTGGTCCTCCATGTCTTTATGGAGCTGGCTTTGTACACAGGGGACAGTCATGGGGAACAGAAAAGGGTCATCACCAAACTGGTCCTCCATGTCTTTATGGAGCTGGCTTTGTACACGGTGGGGGGGGGGACAGTCATGGGGGAACAGAAAAGAGTCTTCACCAAACTGTTTCCACAAGGATGGAAGAGCACACAATTGTCTCCAATGTTTTTGTATGATGGAGGATTACCAGGACCCGTCACTGGAGACACCTGACCTCCATCATTGGGGGGTTCACAAACGTTTTGCCATATAATACAACCAGGAAGCAGAATGTCGGTTCCCCTCTGAGGCCTGTTGTGACACGAGGAATATTGACTTCATGAGGATGATTAATGAGGAGCCGGTGTCTGCTGGCACTGCCCATGAGGAACTCTATGAAGGGTATTATTTCCAGCCCTCGTTGTCTGACCTCCCCGCTGTGGGGATTGTGGGACTCGTTGGGCTGATGTGTAGATGGTGCTCTGTATGTCAGACTGGGGGTGACGGGTAACGTGTGCCCAGCGCTCCGGGGGGGGGGGGGGAGATAGATAAATCCTTCAATCTGTACAGACGTGGACAGAAAGTCACCGCAATCCATCACAAGCTGCTCATGACAGGTGGTCACTGGTCATGTGATTCCTTGCAGCTGGGGTATAGGGACCCCAGGAGTCCCGGCGGGGGTCTTCTGCCTGTCAATAAACTCCACCACCCATCAGGCTGCAGTGGGATCTGCTGGGAGTATGTAGTTTGTCCCAGGGCACCTCTAGGGGCCCCTGACCTCAGGTCTGAAGAACCATTCATTGAAATATTTCATAGATGTTTTGTGGTGTGAAATGTGACCTCTGTGCTTTACCTCTCTTCATCCAGGAGGGGGCGGTGTAGCATTCTCCCCGGGGAACCTCAGCACCAGCAGTAGTGCCAGCAGCACCCTGGGCAGCCCAGACAACGAGGAGTACATCCTGTCCTTCGAGACCATCGACAAGATGAGGCGGGTCAGCTCCTACTCCTCGCTCAACTCGCTGATAGGTGAGAAAGTCTCGGGTCGCTGGTCACCAGGGAGGGGGGGGGGGAGCGAATCCAAATCATGAGCATTGAAGCTGAACACACGTGCAGATTACATATATGTGGCAGCAAACGTGAACAGTCTCCTGTAACATGACAGCAGATTCTAACCACCTCCTGACACAGCAGGAAATGTTTGCAATCTCCTGTGACCCGGTATCAGTCTCTAGCGGTCTCCTGTGACCCGGTATCAGTCTCTAGCGGTCTCTGTGACACAGTATCAGTCTCTAGCGGTCTCCTGTGACCCGGTATCAGTCTCTAGCGGTCTCCTGTGACACAGTATCAGTCTCTAGCGTCTCTCGTGACCCGGTATCAGTCTCTAGCGGTCTCTGTGACCCGGTATCAGTCTCTAGCGGTCTCCTGTGACCCGGTATCAGTCTCTACTGGTCTCCTGTGACCCGGTATCAGTCTCTACTGGTCTCCTGTGACCCGGTATCAGTTTTCTAGCGGTCTCCTGTGACCCGGTATCAGTCTCTAGCGTCTCTCGTGACCCGGTATCAGTCTCTAGCGGTCTCCTGTGACCCGGTATCAGTCTCTAGCGGTCTCCTGTGACCCGGTATCAGTCTCTAGCGGTCTCCTGTGACCCGGTTATCAGTCTCTACTGGTCTCCTGTGACCCGGTATCAGTCTCTACTGGTCTCTGTGACCCGGTATCAGTTTCTAGCGGTCTCCTGTGACCCGGTTATCAGTCTCTAGCATCTCTCGTGACCCGGTATCAGTCTCTAGCGGTCTCCTGTGACCCGGTATCAGTTTCTAGCGGTCTCCTGTGACCCTGGTATCAGTCTCTAGCATCTCTCGTGACCCGGTATCAGTCTCTAGCATCTCTCGTGACCCGGTATCAGTCTCTAGCATCTGTCGTGACCGGTTATCAGTCTCTAGCATCTCTCGTGACCTGGTATCAGTCTCTAGCGGTCTCCTGTAACACGGTATCAGTCTATAGCGGTCTCCTGTGACACGGTATCAGTCTCTAGCAGTCTCCTGTGACACAGTATCAGTCTCTAGCAGTCTCCTGTGACACAGTATCAGTCTCTAGCGTCTCTCGTGACCCGGTATCAGTCTCTAGCGGTCTCCTGTGACCCGGTATCAGTCTCTGGCGGTCTCCTGTGACCCGGTATCAGTCTCTAGCGGTCTCCTGTGACCCGTTATCAGTCTCTAGCATCTCTCGTGACCCGGTATCAGTCTCTGGCATCTCTCGTGACCCGGTATCAGTCTCTAGCATCTCTCGTGACCCGGTATCAGTCTCTAGCATCTCTCGTGACCCGTATCAGTCTCTAGCATCTCTCGTGACCCGGTATCAGTCTCTAGCATCTCTCGTGACCTGGTATCAGTCTCTAGCGGTTCTCCTGTAACATGGTATCAGTCTATAGCGGTCTTCTGTGACACAGTATCAGTCTCTAGCGTCTCTCGTGACCCGGTATCAGTCTCTAGCGGTCTCCTGTGACCCGGTATCAGTCTCTAGCGGTCTCCCTTGACCCCGGTATCGGTCTGTGGCGGTCTCCCGTGACCTGCTATCGGTCTGTGGCGGTCTCCCGTGACCTGCTATCGGTCTGTGGCGGTCTCCCGTGACCTGCTATCGGTCTGTGGCGGTCTCCCGTGACCTGCTATCGGTCTGTGGCGGTCTCCCGTGACCTGCTATCGGTCTGTGGCGGTCTCCCGTGACCCGGTATCGGTCTCTAGCGGTCACACCCGTGACCCGTATCGGTCTGTGGCAGTCTCCCGTGACCTGCTATCGGTCTGTGGTGGTCTCCCGTGACCTGCTATCGGTCTCTAGCGGTTCTCCCGTGACCCGGGATCGGTCTCTAGCGGTCTCCCGTGACCCGGGATCGGTCTCTAGCGGTCTCCCGTGACCCGGGATCGGTCTCTAGCGGTCTCCCGTGACCCGGGATCAGTCTCTAGCGGTCTCCCGTGACCCGGGATCGGTCTCTAGCCACTAGCGGGTTGACGGTAGGACATGGGCGGAGTCAGCGTGGAGCCTTCAGGTTCTCTTCGTCCGATTCTCCTTCCTAATAATTGATGCAGAATATTCCCAACACGGATATTTCCTGAGGATTGTCTATCAGGCCTGGGATGGGATGTACCTGTGCACTCCCACGCCTCTACATAACCAGATCACACCGACTCCTATCTCACTCCTTGTGTTCCCCCTCCACCGGGATTCCCCCCCCCCGCCTCCTCCGCCTCCTCTCAGACCCCCCGGATGAATTGTGGGGACATGAGAGGCCGATCGCTCACATCTCTCTGCTTCCTCCTCTGCGCCTCCATCCCTCTGCGCCTCCATCCCTCTGCGCCTCCATCCCCTGCGCCTCCATCCCTCTGCGCCTCCATCCCTCTGCGCCTCCATCCCTCTGGCGCCTCCATCCCTCTGCGCCTCCATCCCTCTGCGCCTCCATCCCTCTGCGCCTCCATCCCTCTGTGCCTCCATCCCTCTCCGCTTCTCATCTTCATCTTTTCATCTCGTCTTCCCT